AGTTCCCATGGGAGGTATGATGGTAAGGCAATCCTTTGCCATTGGAGGTTCCGGGAGCTCATATATCTATGGCTATGTTGATGCTACCTATCGGAAAGGGATGACCAAGGAGGAGTGTCTACAGTTCACTGCCAATGGTAAGAACTTGTTATTTACACCTGTGAGGTTGAAGACTCCCTACCCCAGCTAAGCCAACAAACTCCAAACCCAACCTCCTCCTTTTATCTGCAGCTCTTGCTTTGGCCATGGAGCGGGATGGTTCCAGTGGAGGGGTGATCCGCCTGGCAGCCATTGAAGAATCAGGGGTTGAACGGCAGGTACTTTTGGGAGACCAGATACCCAAATTCACCATTGCCACTTTACCACCCCTCTGATCCTGAGATTCTAGGCTGCAATAAGAGATACCAGTACCCTATAATGATTCAAAATTTAATAAACAGTTTGTCAAAGTTACTGTACTTTTGGTTCTTCTCTTGGCCTCAAGCCTGAACTTGTTTGGTCCACATTTATATTTATCCAAACCACTGCATGAAGCTCCAAGGAAATTGGAAAGATGACAGAAGTTTATGAATGTTCCATTCCTCACTAAATCGAACCATGGGTGGTTTTCAAACTCTTTTTCTAGAACACTTTGCCCCTGGCATATGTAGGTACTTTAACTATCATAACTCTTTTAGCCCAGCCTCATGGTCCCTCCTCTATACTTAACCTTCATTACCACATTTTGTGGCTAGGATACAGCAGTGTGACTTCCTTGGCTTTAGGGAAGAGGTGGGCCTTGTCTGCAAGTGGAATTTAAGGTTAATGTTGGGTGACAGCAGTCACAAGGCATGACTTTGGCTAGCACGATTCCTGTGGGAGACAGAATGGACTTGGCCCCTGCAAAGCTGCTGCTACTCAAGCCAAGGATGAAAGGGGAGCCAGCAGTGCTCCCTGACAGCGATGTGCTCTCAGTCTTTTGTTCAGTCTGCATCAAGGAACCCAAAGCCACATTTTAAAACTTTTCTAGCCTGGTACTTACACTTCTGTGATCCCAGGATTCCAAAGGCTGAGGCAGGAGAATTGCCATAAGTTTGAGGTCAGCCTGTACTACATAGGTTTATCCTAACTTAAGAAATGAAGGAGAGGTTGAAAAAAGAAAGGCCAAAAAACCTTGTCTAGAATATATGCACCTGCCAGGTGTGGTGGCACATGCCTGTAATCCTAGCACTTGGGAGGTTGAGGCCAGCCTGGGCTACATAGCAAGAGTCTGTCTCAAAAAAATAAAAAAGAAATACATATACTCTTGCTTTGGAGGGCAAGGAGGCTCCCTATGGAAAGTGGCAATGTTCTGGATTAAGTGAAAAAGAACAGATAAGGCTGTCTGACCCCAAAACTATACCTCACACCTTGATAATACATAAATAATACTTTTGATTCTGTGTCAAAACCTCTTCTCCCAAGATTGGTTTTTGCTTCTTACAGTGGTTGATTGATTTTACAGCCTTGATTTTGTAATCTGAGCAACTACTTAGAAGACAACAATATGCAATACATTAAGCATTGTTAATTTATCATCCTGTTTTGAAACTCTTACCACTTTTTCTTTTTTTATCTTTCTTTAAAACCTCTTCTTGGGCCAGGGAGAGAGCTCAGTGGAATAAGTACTTTGCCTGGCAAGCACAAGGTCCTGAGTTCAATCCCTGTTACCACCAAAAAGAAAAATAAAATCTTTTTTGGGCTAGCCAGATAGCTCAGCAGATTAAAGTGCCTGCATAGGCAGACTCGGACCAGGGTTCCAATCCCCAGCATGCCCTGACAGCCAGCAGTTGAGACTGGGCAGAATGTCACGTGGTTGCGCCCCCCCCCCCCCGCCCGGTAATCCCAGCGCTTGGGAGGCTGAACACAGGATCACTATAAGTCCAATCTGTGTAGTGAGACCCTGTTGGCCCTGTACTAAATACATAAAAAAAACCAAAAACCTCTGTCTTTCCTATGGCAGGCTTCATCTTTGATTCCTCTCTTTGCCTTGCCCTCTACATTCAGTGTAACAGTTAATCCTAAAAATTTCCTAATATGTGTATCTGATCATGGCACATGCCTATAATCCTAGCACTCGGGAGGCTGAGGCAGGAGGATCATTGTGAGTTTGAGACCAGCTTGGGCTACAAAGTGAGCTTGAGGACAGCCTGAGCTCCATAGCAACACCCTGTATCAAAAAGACCAAAAAAAAAAAAAAAAAAGTATGTATAGCCAGGGAGATAGCTCAGTGGTACGGTGCTCACTTGGCAAGCTCAGGCTCCTCAGTTCAGTTCTTGGTACCAAAAAAAAAGGAAGTGTGTGTACATTTGGGATGCTGAGGCAGAAGGATCCCAGCAAATTTGAGGCCAGCCTGGGCTCCACAGTGAAAACTCTATGGTAAGTTCAAAGCCAACCTGGACTACATAGGCCCTAGAGAGAGAAGGGTAAGGAAGTATATGTAGAATTCTTAAACCCGTGCGGTGTTGCACCCCTGTAATCCCAACACTGGGGAGACTGAAGCAGAAGGATCACTGTAAATTCAAGACCAGCCTGCGTTGTATAAGATTTTTTCTTTTTTTTTAAAAAAAAATACATTTCTCTGCATCCCTGTCCTGATCAACAGCGTCTTTCCTGCAGTATGGCAACAGCTGCCTAAACTGCCTTGCTGTTTCCTTTTTCTCCCCTCTGTCCTTTGAAACAGATTCTGCACTTAACACTCACTGGGTTTTGGAACTAGGACTATGCTTTTGATTTTTCTTCCTCTTGCTGCTAGGTATCTAGTGATGAAATCCTGCTCACTCTACCACTAAGCTACATCACCAGGTCCCTGCCTTAAAATATACTTTTAATAGCTGGGAGTGGTGGCACACACCTATAATCCCAGTCTCCAGGAGGCTACAGCAGCAGGATCACTTAAGAGTCAGAGGCCAGCCTGAGCTCCAGAGTGAGTTCAAGGCCGATCTGAACTACACAGTGAGACCCTGTCCCAAAAATAAAATAATAAAGATACACCATTTATTTATTTTGCAGTACTGAGAATTGAACCCAGGCCTTTGTACATCCTGAGCATTCTACCACTGAGCTACATTCCCAGGCCTTTTTATTTTTTTTAATTTTGAAACAGGTCACTAAGTTGCCTGAGGCTGACCTGGAACTTGTGTTTTTCCTGCCTTATCCTGCTGAGTGGCTAGGATTACACATTTGAGACGTTGCGCCCAACAAGTTTTACTTGAGTGAAAGCTACAGTTTTCCATGTATCCCTGCCCCCACATCCATACAGCCTCACCCATCAATATCCTGCACCAAAGAGGTACATGTGTGGGGCTCAGTGACCTACCATGGAATATCCTTCCTCAGCTTTCACTTAGCAGTTCATCATCCAGGTCTCAGCTCAAAGGGTAGGTGGTCTGTCCTGACCACCTGAAGCCAAGGAAATACCACCCCCAACACCCCCTATCCCTTTTGCATTACCCTGTGTAATTTTATTCATAGCAACATTTATCATTACCTGGCATGATGCTTATATGTTTACTATTTTATTGCATATCTCCCCCTAGTAGAAAGCTAAGAAGAAAGAATTCTCTCCTTTTGGTTCATTGATAGACCTTCATACCAGTAGGGAGTAGCCACTAGACCCTTATTTCGTAGCTATGCTCCCTATACTCATCTGTTGCCCTGCCAGCCCTCAGTCTTTCCAAATTTGACCGCTCCACACTCAGCTCTTGAAGCTTAATTTTAGCAAATTTACATCTTGCTAGCCATACCCCTGGTTCACCAGCTCATCATTTCTGTGTCCCACTCCCTCCTGATGCTATGTGTCCTACCCTGGCCCTGGCCCCTTGTCCTGGTCAATCCCCCCCAACACACTGACTCACACAACATTTGGCAACTCTCAACACATTTAATGAGAAGACCATGACAGGCTTGGGGGAACTGGACACTTGGGCCAATGAAAATGTGGTGAAGGAAGGTTGCCAAGTATTCCCGGTTGTCCTTTTCAAACAGTGGAGTCATTGGCTGATGCTATGTCATGCAGCTGGTGGCGGAAAGAGAGTCGGGCTTTCCGGCTGAAGTAGGCACCAACCCCTGGAGAGGGAAGCCCTCCTTCAGCCACCACAGGGACCACCACTGCTGGGCTGGGACCTGGAGGGGCAGCAGGATTCCTGCCTAAAGGAGGGATTGGAGGAGGGAGAAAGGGATTGCTGGTCAGTGCTGAACTCTCCACTTCTCACCACACAGGGGAAAATGAAAGAAGCTGTCCTGGGGGCCTGACGGGGTGAGGAATGTGCAGGGTAGCAGCAGGAATTGTATAGAGGAGATGCTGAGAGAACAGGCTGGCTTTCCAGGCTTGTGGCTGGGGCGGTTGCAAAGTCCCCTCCTCCAAGCCTTTCTCCCACTTAGAGGGGCCCCCATGCTTGGGAGTAGTACTATGCTGTCACCATGTAGAAATTATTAAACTTGTACCACGGGGCCCTACTTTTCCATTCTTCACTGGGGCCTGCAAAGTCCTGAGCCAGCCCTGTGAGGATGTCAGGGCACCTCCCACCCAAGAAAGAGAGGATCCTTTGCCCTAAGCTGGTTTTAAGACTTACATTTTCCCATGGAGCCCCCTACCCTCGGTTATCCCCCATACCTGCTCCTCTTTCTGTCCCCCGCTGTCTCCGAGACCCAAACCACGGGAAACACCATGCCCCCTTCAGACCCATCTCAATAACAGAGAAAACTGGCATCTGGGAGTGGCCAGGAGAGATCCAGGGGAAGGGTGACACCCCCATCCCGTGGGCAAAACTACCACTTAGCCTCAGACCGCCTGGTGATTATAGGCGCCAGGGGAGGAAAGGGCAGGAGAGGGAAGAGAGGAGGGTAGGGGGATTTCCCATCCACTTTTTAAAAAATCTTTTATCTATGTATGTATGTGTGTATGTAGGTATGTATGTATTTGGTACAGGGTCTCCTACGCATGGACTTGTAGTGATCCTCCTGTCTCAGCCTCTCCAGCGCTCGAATTACAGTAGTGTACCACCATGCCTGGCTTCAGTGGCCACTTGGCGTGGTTTTGGTGGCCAATACAGCATGCAGTACTGGGGGATCAAACCTGGGTCCTTGCGCTTATTAGGCAATCATGTAGACCGCCAAGTTATTTCCCCGGCCCTTAAAAAAATCTTTTATTTGTTTGGTACAAGGTGTTGACTGGCACAGCATGTCTGGGGTTCTGGGGCTATCACAGCATGTGGTTCTGGAGATCAAGCCTGGTCCTTGAGCTTGGGCACTTGGACCACTGAGCTATATCTCCAGCCCCCACCTACTTTTCTGTGCTCCTCAAATGTTGGGTTTCTCTCTGATCCCCATGTAAAAGCAGGTAGACTTTAAAAGGGGGCACATGGCAGAGACAGACACAGGTGTGCTATGATACAATGAAAACTCAGAGCAATGCGCAATAGCT